ATACTAATAGTGGTGGTGGCTGTTTCATGGGAAATTAAGCTTTTAGAGGAAAGTAGGGCGAAAATCACAATCAGGACTGGTTGTGCTTCTGGCTCTCTCTTTTTTCCTCTTTACATTTCATATTAATAATTAAACGAGATGTGAACACAACTGGAGTTCCCTTGGATAGCACCACGCAGATTTTGAGGCCGAAATTGATCCATTTCCCGGCGATCAATTCCGTCGTGGCGTGGAACCCAGATTCGCACTCTGCTTGCAGCACGTCCATGGCGCCGGTGACGGCGGCTAGTACTAAAATGAATTTTTTTTTTAATTTTTAATAGTTGCATAGGTGGAAAACATAAAAAATTATTATTTATTTATTTTATTAATTTTTAATTGCCATGTTACACATTTAATGGTCAACTATAAAAATTGACCGCCACATAAACAAAAGTTAACGGAGTTGGACGGAAAGTGTCTAAACTTGAACTGTTTTAGTAATTTTAGTGACAATGAATGGAATTAAATATTTCTAGTCACCATACATGGACGTTTTTAGTAATCTCAATGACCAGCCTTGCAATTTAACCTATTACATATTCTTAGTAGATAAAAGCTATCGAAATATCCTTGTGCGATGAGTCAGGCCTTGTAATTATCCAAGCTGCCATCTGGGTGAAGTTTGAATGTATAAACCCATTTGCTGCCGAACACAAGAATAGGAGGAGAGAGGTTGTTAGAAACACTTTTCATTATTAAATAAACAATAATTTGAGGATTGGTTATTTTTTCTATTTTCGGATTGATTCTAGTATTTTGTGCGGGTACTCAGAATAATTTGATTAAGGGTTTCACGGGCTACTTTCAAAAGGGTTTCATAGGGTAGGTTTGACTACTCCATCTCATCACCAACTTTCGTCTACTTCACGCGCTTAGACTGGGCCCACTCTTCGTTACTAGACTTTAGGCCCAGCCATCATCCCAAGATTAATCTTCATCACCGTGTACAATAAAGAAGCCCACCATTGTACCTGTTGGTTCAAAGCCCGATGCTTTGTCCATGAAACAAGTCGTCACAAATCACGATCTCTTTTACGTTTTTAGATCACCAAAACATTTCTATGTAGAAACTCATATAACGAGGAATGTCCCATATCTGAAATCGCTTGTAATAGGCTCCGGTCTTCTGGGCTTTGGCTAACACCAATGGAATGGTCAGTCATCTTCAGCACAAAGCAGTGGCAGAAGGTAGGGGCGAGCGAAGAAAAAATCAAGCGCTGGCGGTGCAGCGGAATGTATTTGGACTAGTGCTCGACGAAAAGGTTGGTCTGGGTGGAAATGGGAAAGGATGGGGACTTTGAGCTATTGGTTTGAATTTTTATGATGAGGATGAAGAGTGGATTTGGGTTTTATGAGAAATAAGTTTTTGGAAATGAAAGATGGGTGCATTGGGGTAGGGGTTGATGGAGATGAAGGGCAAAGGAGATGGCGATGGATCGCGGTAGGGCAAGGACTTGAGGAGGGTTTGAGGGAGATGAAGGACAGAGGGAAAGGCAGTAGGGGGAGGGGAAAGAGAGAGGAGAGAGAAATTTTAAAAGTTAAATTATTTTATTTTTTAATTAATACTACATCATATTTTTAATGACAAAATGTTGTCAAGTCAGCCTTTCCGTTAGTTAAATTAAAGCGTTGTTAAAGTTTTGGAGGAAATGGCTATATTTGTTATGCATTATTTGAAATTCTGCCTATTTTATTTATACCTCGAAAAGTGGTTGTTATTGTCACAAACGCGAAAGTTTTGACTATACAAATATATATTTTGCCTTATGCTTTTGTATTTGCTTAACTGAATTCATACCCCATTTACAAAATATCTATAATCTAATAAGTTCTCTTAATCACACATAATTACATCTTATTAAAATAATAGTAAATAACACTTAAAAATCCTCTATAAAAGTACTTAAGATTTTGATATTTTAAATAATACCACAAAGCATAAATGATTGGTCAAATATAATAGGCACAGAGTCGATGAATAGAAGGAGAAAGTGAGGGGAAAGGGGTTAGGACTAGTGATGACAATGTTGTAGGACGGTGCAGATACCTCTAAACGCATGTCCCGCTTCACGTTAATGCGGGTAGGAGAGGGTCGGGTACGGGGTGTAGCTGACTAGCTGGTTGACCTACTCTTATATATTATTTGGAAAAAAATAGACGCAAAGTTTAATTTTTACAATAAAATGAAGGAACACTTTGTGAAAGAAAAATAGTGATAATAAAATGGGTAATTGAGTCTAAATAATGGAAAGACTGCCCCTAACTAGTTGAAAAAAGTCAAAATAGGACAAATATGTATAGATGTAAGAAATTGAAATAAAACGGACCAAGAATGGGGCGAGGCTGGACAGGAAGGGTCAGAAGTAGATGCCCATGCCTCGCCCCATACTACTTCGGGTCGAGTAATATTCGCCCCATTACGGGTCAGGTCGGGTAATAACCATGGGACGGATTCAAATTGTCATCACTAGTTAGAGCCATAGAGGGAAGATAGAGAGAGATAAAGTTCAGGAATACTTATTCTGTTGGCCCGGCAACATGTGGTGGAGCAAGAGCCAGCAATTGGCGGTGGTAATTATAAAAAAAAAAATCAAAAAATATTACAGCACCGAAAAATGCAGTTGGGGAGGTGAGTTAGCAGATGGGAATTCATTCCCTTCCCCTCTTCCCTGGCTATAAAATGTAGAGGCATTTGCCTCATTTCCATCATCCCTCACCATTCCATCCTTCTCCATTTCCTTTGCTCTGCTTCTGTTCGTATTTCTTTTGTGGCTTTTTTGGTAGTGAAACGTTTTTACTACGACGGGTAGATAGGAGATTTCCTTGTGAGTGAAATAGTGAGGTTGTTTGGGAAACACTGTGTGTTCTATTTCTTGTATCGAGAAAATCTATGTAACCTACCATTGTTATAGTAAACAAATACTATGGAGCTGTTGTTCCCGTGGACTGGCCCAAAATCAGGGTATACCACGTAAATCCTCGGTGTCATTTATTATTATCTATGCTTGTTGTTATTTTGAGAATAGTCGTAGTATATTGCATTATTAAATTACCGAAGTAAATTGATCTAAGTAAGTTGGTTACCGTAATTTTGGAGGCTCTGCCACCAGGTCCAACTTACCTGTGAACTTTTTACAAGCGTGTGATTTCTTAGTGCAATATATTTACCCGCTATTCTCACCTGCTGCGCCCAACAAGTGGTGTCAGAGCCACGTCCAATGGAGGCTAAAACAAGCAAGATGATAAGTATGAATGGCTCAAACTATCACATATGGAGAGACAAGATGAAGGATCTCCTACTCGTGACGGTGTTTAGCCCAACTAAGCCTGATGGCAAAACTGAAGAAGAATGGAAGTTCAAGCATGATCAAGTATGTGGCTACATTCGACAGTTCGTCGAGGATAATGTATACAACCATATAGTGGAGAAACTCATGCCAGAACTTTGTGGAACAAGTTGGAGGCACTCAATGCATGAAAGACCGGCAACAACAAATTATTTTATTTGACCAAGTTGGTCTAGATGAAATTCAAGGAAGGCAAATCCTTGGTGGATCACTTGAACGAAATTCAAGGGTTTGTGGGTCAGTTGTCTGGTATGGGCATAAAGATGGAAGATTTGGTGGCCGCTCTCCTCGTTCTGGCTTCCCTTCTAGAATCTTGGGAGACGCTAAAAATTTCACTTACCAACTCAGCGAAAGATGGAGTTATCAACATGAAGATCGTCAAAAGTGGGGTTCTGAATGAATAGATGCGGAAATGATCACAAGGTGCATCCTCATCATTTTCCCAGTCAGACCTTTTGGCGGTGAATTCCAGAAGCAGAGGAAGAAGTGAAGCGAGAGGCTCGAAGCAAAGAGGCAAGAGTCGAGGGAAGTCCAACAAGTTTGCCAACATCAATTGTCATCACTGCAAGGAAAAGGCCCACATCAGAAGATTTTCCCAAAGTTCAGAAAGGAGAGAAGGAAGGGCAAACGAGATGAGAACACTAATGATGATGGTGCAAACTCTGTTGATGAGTTCAATATTGTCTACGAGGAAGATGTTGTCAACCTAACAACCCAGGAGACAAGCTGGGTGGTTTATAGTGGTGCTACCATCCACGTGACGTCCAAGAGAGAATTTTTCTCATCTTACACACCAGGTAACTTCGGTGTGGTAAGAATGAGAAATGGTAATCTTTCCAAAGTTATCGAAAAAGGAGAAGTCTGCTTGGAGACGATGAATGGTACGAAGCTACTGCTGAAGGATGTCAGGCATGTTCCATAAATGCGCTTGAATCTCATCTCTGTAGACAAGTTGGATGAGGAAGGTTACTGCAACACCTTCCACAATGGGCAGTGGAAACTCACCAGAGGCTCCTTGGTGTTGGCCAAGGGCAAGAAGCTATCAAAGCTGTATGTGACGGAAGCCAAGTTCTCCCCAGAGATTGTCAATTCATCAGAGAATGGTGACACAATTGAATTGTGGCACAAACAGCTCGGTCACCTGAGTGAGAAGTCCATGGCAAAGTTGGCCCAAAAGAAAGTCATAGTTGGGTTGGATCATGTTCATTTAAAGAAGTGTGTCGATTGCCTTGCGGGAAAGCAAAACCGAGTTGCTTTCAAAAGTTCCATCCCTTCAAGAGTGAAGAACGTGTTGGATGTAGTTCACTTAGATCTCTGTGAACCGATGTCAACGTCAAATCACTTGGAGGTGACAGATATTTTGTGACATTCATTGATGACCATTCACGGAAGACTTGGGTGTATACCTTGAAGACCAAGGATCAGGCCCTAGATGTTTTCAAGCAATTCATGGCCCTGGTGGAGAGGGAGACTGGCAAGAAGCTGAAGTGCATCCGGACTGACAATGGTGGAGAGTACAGAGGTATGTTTGCTACCGTCTGCAAGGAACATGGAATTCGGCAGCAATTCACACCACCAAAGACCCCGCAATTGAATGGGCTAGCTGAGAGGATGAACAGGACCCTGCTAGAGAGAGTCAGGTGCTTGTTATCACACTCGAAGCTACCACAATATTTCTGGGGGGAGAAACTGCTTGCAGCAGTTTATGTGTGGAACAGGTCACCTAGTGTGCCGCTGAAGTATGACGCCCCAGAGAAGGTGTGGACAAGAAATGAAGTTTCCTACAAACTTTTGCGGGTGTTTGGTTGCAAGGCCTTTGTCCATATTCCAAAGGATGAAAGGTCAAAGTTGGATTCCAAGACGAGACCGTGCGTATTCATTGGATATAGTCAAGATGAGTTTGGCTATAGATTCTATGATCCAATCCAGAAGAAGCTTATCGGAAGTTGTGATGCTGTGTTCATCGAAAATGAGACAATCGAAGATGTTGTTGCTAGGAAAGAAGTTCCTAGTACTGATGCTAGTCAACCAAGACTTGGGCTAGTACTTACAACGCTGGCGCCTATAGAAGTTGGAGAAGAAGCACAACATGATCAACCTGAAATAGTTGAACAAGATGCTCCTATAGAGGTTCAACTAGAAGATGCTGATGACGATGGTCAACCACCAGCCATTGAGGGTTCTTCGGTTCGGACGACGAGATTTGGTAGGGTCGCACGACGCTCTACCAGATATCCTGAGACTGAATACGTGTCACTTACTGACGGGGGAGAACCAGAAAGCTTCACGGAAGCTATGAATGATGAACACAAGCAAAGGTGGATAGAAGCCATGCAAGACGAGATGGATTCCTTGTATGAGAATAAGACATTTGAGCTGGTGAAATTGCCCAAAGTCAAGAGAGCTTTGAAGAACAAGTGGGTGTTCAAGATCAAGCATGATGAACACAACTGTCAACCACGCTTCAAAGCCAGACTAGTCGTGAAAGGCTTCAGCCAAAGGAAAGGCATTGACTTTGACGAGATATTTTCACCTGTGGTAAAAATGACATCCATTCGTATTGTGCTGGGACTAGCAGAAAGTCTTAACCTGGAGGTTGAGCAAATGGATGTGAAGACTGCCTTCCTTCATGGTGATTTAGAGGAAGAGATTTACATGGAGCAATTAGAAGGATTCAAGAAGAAGAACAAGGAGGGCTATGTGTGCAGGCTCAGAAAGAGCTTGTATGGCTTAAAGCAGGCACCAAGGCAGTGGTACAAGAAGTTTGAGTCTGTTATGGGGGAGCAAGGATACAAGAAGACTACTTCAGACCACTGCGTGTTTGTGAAGAAATTTCCTGATGGAGATTTCATCATACTTTTGCTCTATGTGGATGATATGCTAATTGCTGGGCAGAACGTCTCAAAGATCAATAATTTGAAGAAGGAGTTGAGCAAGTCTTTTGCCATGAAAGACTTGGACCAGAAAAGCATATTCTTGGCGTGAGGATCATTCGGGATCGAGGTGCCAAGAAGATATGGTTGTCACAAGAAATGTAGATTGAGAAAGTACTTCAACGTTTCAACATGGATAATGCTAAGGCATTTAGCTTTCCTCTTGCTAACCACTTTACATTGACATTCAAACAGAGCCCGTCTACTGAGAAGGAAATGGCGGAGATGGATAAATTTTCATATGCTTCAGCAATGGGAAGTTTGATGTACGCCATGGTGTGTACAAGGCCAGATATTGCTCATGCAGTTGGTGTTGTCAGTCGGTTTCTTTCCAAACCAGGAAAGGAACATTGGGAAGCTGTGAAGTGGATCCTCAGATACCTTCGAGGTAGCCCCAAAATGAGTATATATTTTGGAGATGGTGAACCTGTCCTTGTTGGCTATACAGATGCTGACATGGCAGGTGATGTTGATTCGAGGAGGTCCACATCTGGGTACCTGATTACCTTATCAGGGGAGCAATATCGTGGCAGTCAAGGCTACAAAAGTGTGTAGCTCTTTCCACAACATAAGCTGAGTATATAGCAATAACGGAAGCATGCAAGGAGATGATATGGAAGAAGAAGTTCCTGAATGAACTTGGGTTCCTACAGGAACAACCTCAGCTGTTCTATGACAGTCAGAGTGCTATTCATCTTGCAAAGAATGCATCATTTCATGCTCGATCAAAACATATTGATGTTCGATATCACTGGATACGAGATGTGCTTGAAATGAAGCAGTTACAACTAGAGAAGCTCCATACTAACAAAAATGGATCTGACATGTGTACCAAGACTCTTCCAAGAGAAAAGTTTGAGTTCTGTCGATTAGCTGCAGGGATGATGAAGTCGCCCATGTAGTCATGCGGGGGAGAATTGTTGGCCCGGCTACATGTGGTGGAGCAAGTGGCAGCAATTGACGGTGGTAATTATAAAAAAAATCAACAAATATTAAAGCACCAAAAAATGCAGTTGGGGAGGTGAGTTAGCATATGGGAATTCAATTCCCTTCCCCACTTCCCTGGCTATAAAATGCAGAGGCATTTGCCTCATTTCCATCATCCCTCACCATTCCATCCTTCTCCATTTCCTTTGCTCTGCTTTTGTTCGTATTTCTTTTGTGGGTTTTTTTGGTAGTGAAACGTTTTCACTACCACGGATTATAGGAGATTTCCTTGTGAGTAAAATAGTGAGGTTGTTTGGGAAACACCGTGTGTTCTATTTCTTGTATCGAGAAAATCTCTGTAACCTACCATTGTTATAGTAAAGAAATACTCTGGAGCTGCTGTTCCCGTGGACTGTCCCAAAAACCGGGTATACCACGTAAATCCTCCAGCAGGGACGGAGCTAGCTTGTTAGTAGGGGGGCCATAGCCCCCCCCCCCCCCAAACATTTTAAATACCACAAAAACGTAAATGAAGAACACAAACTACTTAGTGCGGCGCAGTGGCTAAGAAGGTTGTCTACTTCAACTTTCTATCTAGAGGTCAAGGTTCGAATGCTAAGTTTGGCATTATTATTCATTTTATGCTAATTATTACACTTTCTTCATATATTTTCTAAAATTTTCTGTTTCAACTTATAATATTAATTAGCTTCTTTTTGTTAGTTAATTTCTTTGAAAATTTATCATATTTATTTTTCAACTGATAATGAGTTTCTTTGAAATCACTTCAACTTATAATTAGCTTCTTTGAAATCACTTTTTCAGAGTTAATTATCCTTTCCGTGTAAGTTAATTTCTTTGATAATTTATCAAGTTTCCATTTGTAAATAGTCATGACTATCATATTTTACGGCTAGATTTATTTTAAAATTCGAAATCATGAGTAATTTTGTTTATCAAATTGGTAAGTATATATTAAAAAAAATCCAACAAAAAATAAAAATAAAAAAATTTGGCCCCCCTATCGAGAACCCTGGCTCTGTCCCTGAAATCCTCGGTATCATTTATTATTATCTATGCTTGTTGTTATTTTGAGAATAGTCGTAGTATATTGCATTATTAAATTACCGAAGTAAATTGATCTAAGTAAGTTGGTTACCATAATTCTGGAGGCTCTGCCACCAGGTCCAACTTACCTGTGAACTTTTTACAAGCTTGTGATTTCTTAGTGCAATATATTTACCCACTATTCTCACCCTCTGCGCACAACATATTCTTCTGTATTTGTTTAACTGAATCCTGAGCTCAATTACATCATATATATATATATATATAACCTGATAAGTTTTCTTAAAAGCCCATAATTAACCCCATTACAAAAATACTAAATAACACTCGTAATTCTCATATATCATACTTGGATTATACCAGCTCTGATCCCCCGGGTGGTCGAGATGGATGGTGGATGTTCAGCAACTGAGCAATCATGTTTTGTGGAAAGTGATGAAGACTAAGGAGAACAAGTTATTACGGCGTTTTTGCTAGAGATGAAGATAATGCGGTCAGTGGCGCAACCAAAAATTTAAACGAAGAGACTAAAAATTATAAAGGGATGTGAACCATGATCATTAATGAGAGGGTGCCAGTGCATTTACCAACTAGTCTATCAAATTTACCCACACTGAACAAGGTTGTGGAGAAGCCCAAGTGATCTAAACGAAAACGACAGCCAACATAAACGCGGTTGAGAAGAGACTGTTTCCTAAAGTATACTGCTACGTACGCCAGTTTTGCCCGGAGATCGTCTAATGAAAGAAACTATGGAGTCCCATGACCTCCTCCGCCTGATTTACTTGGCTTCAGAGCAATTTTCATCAATTGCTGGATTTCTTGGAGACGCAGCATCTGCTTCCCAGCCTCTTCTTCCCCCTTCAAATCTGCCAAATACAGAAGATGATTCAGCATTCAGCACTCCCCTCTCTAGAGCCGAATACAAGAAGAGAAGAGTACGTTATAATCAAAGAGACAGTCGTCGTTTATACACTTACTACTGCTGCTTGTGCCTGGGAGATATGCAAACCGTCGAGCCAACGAAGTCTGGGAGGAAGAGGCAATGACTAGAAACAGGACGAAGCTCATCACCATCGTGCAACGGATAGCCATGATCTGATCTTCTTTTCTGCTACGTACTAAGTAATCACGTACTGAATATATATTAATTCTCCAGGAATTGGAATTCCAGCTCCAATTCCTAATTAACACTGGTTCTATTTATAAGTAAGCTTCTTAATTTTAGTGGTTTGAGTTGACTCATTTTTTTATATATATTTTTTTTTTTTCGTTCCCTTTTTCGTTTGACTCCATGGGAGCACGCTTTGCACGACTGATGTTTGGTTATGTACATTCATTCTACACGTGCAACGCGGCTGCCGTATTATTATAAAAATTGAAGATACTGAGTTGACATTTTCGTCAGCCTAATTTGGCCATCAATTTTAAACTTACAGTTATGCTGTTAGTTTGTATAACCCATGCCCACCTAATGGATAGGGTAATTATGTGCTAACACAAATAAAATATTAGATTCTTTTAATAGTAGAGATTTCCATTTCATTAGTTTTGAGTAATTTATTTTTGAAATGAAATCTTTTTATGTTTGAGATTTAGAAAAATTTATTTTGAATTTTACAAAATTGGAACTAGTTATAGCATCACTAAGAAATTGAGATAGAATTTTCAAAAAATTCCAAAATTATTTACTAATTATAATAGAAAGATATAATTATCCTCATTTATTAACTAAATTATATCTACATATATTATTTCGCCCCAATTCATGCGGTGTGAGGAACGTCGCCAAGAATTTGATCGCAACGTTAGTAGCTTATGCTGGTTATTTGATAATTCTGCATTGATTGTATTATTATATTTTGAAGCCACCGTTAGTGATAACACCAAGGTAGGTGTTATCAAGTGGCATCAGAGCCAAGGTTCTACACAGTGGATACAAGGACGAAGACAACGTAGGAAGGCGGCGCCGGAGGAAGTCACTGGACGAGGTCAAAGGGCCCTGTCTCAGGTGACCCTGCCTTGCTGTTATCCGAACAGAAAAGGAAGAAGAAGCAGGCAGCAACAGTTGCACCATCGACTCAAACTTCCGACCTTGTATCAACTGCTAATCAAACGGAATTGACGATGGGAGAGGCTCAGCCTGTTACGATGGCCGGACTGCAACAGTTATTCCAAGAGCAGGTCGTTGCTCTGCTCCAGAACCAGTTGGACAAACAAGAAGAAAAATTCAATGACATCAATACTAAATTTGATTTTCTGAGTCGACAAGTCACAATGCTACGACAGCCAGGTGGACTAATAGCAGCCACTCCCCTCGACACGTAGGCCGCCGACGCAACTGGTGATCACCCGCCAAAAAATTGAGGTACCCTTGTAAGGCCGGGAAGCACAGGGCATGATCGGGAGACTCTGGCCGAGCGGGTTCATGAACTGGAACAACAATTGATGACTCTAGAAGTCAACTATGACACCCAGCAACCAATCAATCGACGTAGAGGAGGATTTTCGCGGCTGAATTATGAAGCAGAAGAGCTTCCAATCTCGGAATTACGGGGAGTTAAGTTATGTGTTCCGTCCTTCAAGGAACGAGTAATGCCTCTGCCTATTTCGATTGGGAGAGGAAAATCTTGTTATTCTTCCAGTGTGGCCATTATACCGATTCACAGAAGATTGCATTGTCCACTTACGAGTTTACGCACTACGCCGCTCAGTGGTGGGAGCAAGTTCGCCATCGACGACAACAGAACATGCGCCCTCTGGTGACGACGTGGGAAGAATTACGGGGTTTGATGCATGAGCGTTTTATACCGGCCTATTATCGCCTTGAATTGCACGAGTCTCTGCAATTCATTCGTCAAGGATCGAGATCGGTTGACGACTACTACAAAGAGCTTGAGATGCTCTTGACTCGGGCCAACATTCGTGAAGACTCGGAGGCCACTATCTCCAGGTTTTTACATGGTCTAAACCAGAAAATTCGGAACGAGGTGGAGTTGCACCTCGCAATTAAAGTCGAGAAGAAGCTGAAAATGGGTACTGGCCGTCGTTTTTCTC